GGGCCGGAGTAGATCCCCGCTCGTTCCTCACCAGCCGGCTTCTCCACCGCCCCTCAGCCCGCCCCGGTGGCCGTCACCCCCGGGCCGGGGAGCGGAAGCCGGGCGAGGCCGAGGGCTCGCGGGGCTGCAGAGTCACGGACAGCTCCCGACTCCCCGCTCCTATCGGGGCTCCACTCGGTTCGGGGAACTTCACTTCTCCGAGTACTCCGAGCGCCCCTCCCAGTCCCACACGCACAGCACGTCCCGTGAGTCCGGGCCACGGGCTGAGTCCTTGGGGCGGTAGCGAGGGTCCCCGCGGCCCGCGGCGGACCCTGCGGACTGGGATCGGGTCCCAGATGGCGCGCCGCCCACACGGGACCGCAGAGGACGCGTGGACCCGAGCGGTCGGAAGCTGCGCTCTGGGTCGCGCACCGCCTTCTTCGCTGGGAAATCCCCACGGCCGTCGGGGTTAGACTGGCAGGGCCGCCCCTCGCTGCTGGCTTTGAAATGCACCCCACTTTTGGCGTCCTATGCGGAAGAAGTCTCTCCGTGGCGAGATCCACTGCCCGCAGGCCTGTCAGCCTCTTCTGCCCGGCAGCGGTGCAGAACCAAGGACAGCAGGCGAGGGATGAAAAGCCTTCTTAATCGAATACTCAGTTTACAGGCAGGATCAGAGAGCAGGAATCCTTGGCTGAGTAAGGACTAGGCTACTCTGATCAGGACTGCATCTGCACAGATGCTGGACCCGAGACGCTTTCTTACTGCAGGCGCTGAAGAATCTTAAGGGAAAACAGCAAATGGCTGGATGATTTGGGCTAAATCATGCCCAACACCATATGCCTAGTTATCTACAGGCTCAAACGCTGAAAAGCCTTACAAGTCTCTTTGTTTTCAATACTGGATTTTGGGTTAAATAATTGCTCTCCCGCTGTAATTTCACATCAGCACAGCTGCATAGCGCTTTCGTCCAAAAACTCCTAGTTCACAGAGAGAGAGAGAGATTAGGTTTCATTAGCATGAGCTAAAGACAACAGGCAATATTTCGGTGGAAATAGTGTTTAAAGGCCTTCCATTATAAATCGAACTTCCCTGAGATGTTTCCCACCTTATTAACAAAGTCCAAAATAAGTTAACAGACTAGGCAAAATGTGGGTCACTAGGCACTTGGAAGCTTTTTTTGTGGCAGTATGGACTGGTATAGATTAGTATAGCCTATTTGAAGGGAATGTTCCTCCACTACTATTTGCATGTGTAATATGTGCATGTCTTTGAAGGGAAGTTTTACAATGTTCCTACTCTAATATGTGCCTTTGTGCATGTGTGCACAAAGGCATGTACAGAGATCTTATTAGGGGCTTATAACTAAGTATCTTCCTAAAGTACATCTATACCAAGGAATACTATGCAGCAGTTAATATGAATGTACTAATGAGAAGGAATGCCTAAAATAGAGTGTTAAAAAAGTGTAAAACCGAGGGCCAGGATGTAGCTCAGAGGTGCTGCACCTGCCTGGCAAGCACAAGGTCCTGAGTTCGATCTCTGGTACCACAAAAAATAAAAAAGTAAAACTATATGGATTCTGTATGCTGCTACTGACCAAAAAAAAAAAAAAAAAAAAAGTTCAAGCAGGCATATATGGTGTGTGAGCAAAAATACAGTGAATGTTCAAATTTTAAAAAAATTATTATTACACTAAAAGACACATTGCCATCAACACCCCTCTAAATATTCCCCCTTACTTTGAACACATCCATTGTTCTTGCTACTATCTGAAGCAGTTCTGGAAGTCCTCTTTCATAAGTGTCTTTAAATGCTCTGTTGTAGCTACCTTGTCCTGAATCAACTCAAAACATTTACCTTCCATGGTCATTTTGACTTTGGGGAAGAGCCAGAAGTCACACGGGGCCAGGTCCAGTGAATGAAATAGGTAGGTGAGGAGTCGCTGTAATGTTTTTAGGCACCTGCTTTCTGGTTGGATGGCACACAGCAGCTGCATTCATAATAGTTTTGGTAACACCTCATAAAGACATTTGATCACCTCTTGTATACTTGTAAATGCAAATTAAAAATATAAAAGTCTCTGGATATAGAAAAAATTGCTAACAGTACTGTAGAGAAGTAAGGGATCTGGCTGGGGGTGTGACTCTGTGATAGAGCACTTGCCTAGCACTCAGGATGCTGGGTTTAATCCCCAGTACTGGAAAAAAGAAGAATGTAGAGATGGAAGCCAGGTATCCAGGGCTTACTTCCCATTCACATTGTGTTGTTTGCATATTTTAGTATGTGCATGTTTTACTTTTAAAACATTTTATATAAAAACCCTTTCTATTTAACCCAAAAGCCTTTAAAAGCAAAAAGGAAAGGAATACAGTATATTGGTAAAATGACAGCAAATACAAAACACTACCATTTTAAACTAGCATTTTCCTGGTCCCTGGTCATCTCTCTCTACCATTCCTTTGCCTCCAATGCCTTCAATTTCTCTCTGATCACACACACACACACAGGTCTCCTGCTTACCAAGAGTACTAAGACCCTTCCCAGTCATTCAATTAAAATTTTGTGTGGGCTTTTGTTAAATCCTTCTTTTGTTTTCCCTGTCTTCTTTTGGCAAGCCTTCAAATCATACTTTTCTTCTTAGATTCTGTTCTTTCTCATCCTTACAGCTAATTCTCGTACCCACCTTGAGCCTCCGCCCTGCAAGCCTGAATTGCACCAACAGTTTATCTGGAGGGAAATACATGTATCTACAGATGACTAGCTGTATTTGTAGTGTTGTCTTTGTGGCTCCATTTGCATGAGGGGCAGAATAAGCAGCATGGGATGGGAACCTAAAGAGAGAGGAATGTGTGTGTGTGTGAGTGTACATCAGTGTGTGTGTTGGGGGATGGGTTATGGGAGGGGTGGTAAATTAGCAACACAGTTGATCTGGTCAGGTATGGAAGACTGAATATTATGTTTTCTGTGGCTGTTGGGAAGCTTTCAAAGTCTTTTAAGCACATATGGCATGAAATAGGGTGGAGTTTTTAAATAGTTTTTGTTTCTGTGCTAGGCAAGCGCTCTTAACACTGAGCTACAGTCCCAGCATTGGGTGTTCACTAAAGAAAATACTGTATTTGGCTGGGGACAGAGGTCACTGGTAGAGCACCTGCCTAGTGTGTGTGAGGCCCTTCCTGGGTTCAATCCCCAGCAGTGCCGGAAAAAAAAAATTCTCCATTATTCTCCCATTTTTGTATTGCATACATTATCCCTTGGCACTTACCCTACCTAGTTTGGAGTGTCACAGCACCTTTTTTCCCAATTCATTTTTAAAATTTGGATCAAAATTCAAAAGAAGGAAGCCTCGTCCATTCCTATTATCCACCCCCTTGAGTCCACAGACCTGCCACACTTTCCTTCATTGTGGAATCTTGCACATGCTGGTGTTATTTAATTGCTCTTCTATTGATTTGTTTGCTTCTTCAGTCTTGGAGATCAAACCTAGGGCCTTGTGTGTCTTAGGCAAGCACTGTCCCACTGAGCTACATCCCCAGCTCACTTAATCATTCTTTCCACGGGCATGAGCTTTCTCACATCCATCCACTTCATGAGGTCCAGAAGGGCAAGAGCTGCCACTTTCCAAACACACGAAATTCAAGTTTTGGTAAAATAGAGGCTCACTAGATGTTCATTATTTCATATTTAAAATACAAACTTGTAACCTAGGATATACACTACTCCCTAAACTGGCCTGCTCCCCTCCCATATTGACTCCATTACCCAAAAAGAGATGAAATTCCAAGCTAGGTCAGGTACTAGTAACCAGGCCGCATATTTCAGTCAGTACTACGAGGCATTACTGGCCCTTAACGTTTAGTCTAAGACTAGACAGGCAAGGTATCATTCTTATAGTATGTCTTGAACAGGAAGTAAAAACAAAGCGATATGTCCACATATCTCAAAAGGGTACCCCTTGTTGGGAACCCCTAATCATTCAGCAAACTTGGGTATAAAAATCAAGTGAGCTTCTGTATTTAAGAGCTCGTAAGAAATAAGGAAGATGAAAATGAAGTAAATCCCAGGATTTTACAGTACACTGACACACAGACTATCCATACTGTTGGGTATCAGGAAGTTAAGAGGTGAAGGGACAGTGAAAGGCACTGCCTATTAATAATTGACCAAAGTCTCTGACAGGCCAAGCTTAGGAGTCATAAAGCATTTCTATGGCAACAAAGCCAGGAGAGGTGTCCAGAGAGCCAGGAAGTTCAGATTTCCACTGCCTGGCCAAATCCTCCTCATCTTTCAAGCTGCAGTTCTACAGCCTCCTTCATCAGTCTAGTTTTCATTGATTATCTCTCCTTACTCTCTACTCCCTTAACACTTAGGGTCCCACTGCTCAGTTTAACACAATTACATAGTCTCATTTCATACGCTAATGTTTGATGTTTTGTAAGTCTTATCTCCCCAACTACTTATACTTTTATTTGATTAAGATAAACTTCAGTAAGCATTCATCTGCTAAACAGCAGCAGCAGAACAATAATTTGAAATTGGGAAGATAAAAGAAATACAAGCTGATCTGGCACATTTTTTCCCCCATTAAGGGCAGGAGTGTAGTGGGGGCCTAACTGGAGGGCAAAGTGGTCTGCTGGTCCACTAGAAGTGAACGACACTGGTAAGGTTTTGAGGTTATCTAGAAGGTCCCTTCGACCACACCTTACTCCTTATTCTATCTTCCTCACACATGATTAGGGTTGCTAGCATTAGCAAATAAAAACAAAGCACACCCAGTTAAATTTGAATTTCAGACACATAATGAAAATATGTAGTAGGGGCCAGGGATTTAGCTCAATGGTTCTGCTGCCTGCCTTGCAGGTGCAAGGTACCAAGTTCGATACTCGGTACCAAAAAAAAAAAAAAAGAAAATACGTAGTATAAGTATGTCCCAAATATCACACAAGGCATACTTGTACTAAAATTGTTTGCTTTTTATCTGAAATTCAAATTTAACTTCACATTCAGTATTTTATCTGGAAATCGTACCGCCACCTAATGATCACACAGCTTGGATATAACATATCTCAAGAGCTAATCCTGTTGTCATAATAGCTAATGTTAATAGCTTTTATTTATTAAGGGCCTATTATGTGCCAATAACTGTAAAGTCATTACTTCATTTAATTCTTGCAGTAACAAGTAAAATAAATATAATTCTCTTCAGAGGGCATATGTAAAAACTGTCACTCTTTTTTGTGTGTGTGTGTGCTACCAGGGATCAAACTCAGGACCTTGCACTTGCGAGGCAGGTGCGGTGCCACTGACCTAAATCCCAGGCCCTACTGCTACTCTTCTTACCCCCCACCTGAAGATTATATAATATGCTCATGATTGCATGACTAGATACTAAACAGCCAAGATAATAACTAGAATCCTTATTGCTGGCCACAGGTAATTGTGAACATGTAATTTATATTTTCATAAAATATCTGACTCATTTTTTTGGTTGTTTGTTTTTGGTTTTTTAAAGACAGGCTCTTGCTATGTAGTTTAGGCTGGCCTTAAACTCACAGCAATCCTCCTGACTCATCCTCCTAAGTACTGGGTTACAGGCATGCAACACCATGTCCAACCTGACTTATTCTTTACAAAGAGGAAATACTTTTTTTTCAAGTTATTTTTAGTACAATGTAGCAAAAAAGAAAAATTATATTTATGAATTAATTATTTTCAAACAATATTGCAAAAGTCTAAATCTCCCTGTCCCCCCACAGAACACACATTTCACTGAAATCCAAAATATGAAAATATTTTAATGAACACTTTGCAGCAGGCACAATCTTACCAGTATCACTCTCATTTAGATTTCAGCTGTGTGAGCAACTATCTCTATTCAGTCTTTTGAAATAGATCATTTGGTGGTATTTTTGTTTGGGTCCCAGGAGTTGTTTAAGTTTTTACATTAGGCTTGATTTAAGGACTTTTCTAAACTTAATTCTTTCAGAGTATTAGTGTCTTCTTGTTTTAGAGTCAATTTTGTGTTTGTAAAATTTCTTGAATTTTTTGTGCCTCAAAGATACTCAAAGTTAAAATAAAAATTCATCTATTAATGGTATCATGGCCTGTTTATCAAAATTAAATGTAAGCTTTCCAAAGCCCCTTTTATTTTGCTCAGTCTATTGTTCTCCTTGAATGTACCTGGAGAGTAACTATTAAACTATGGGTAACAAGAAGTACTTTCTGAATATTTATACAAAAATAGAAATAAGACAAATACTGGAAATACAAAGAGGCATATTAAACTTAAATTTTGTTTCTTGCCATCAAATCTTCATTTTATTAGTCTAGAAGAGTGCATGGTAGTCTGAAGTGAAGAGGTTTATGAAGATAAAAATCAATGAGGCAAATCTTTCAAGAAACCAAAACAGTTTGAAAACATTGCCTTGAGTAATGCTAGATATTGACCACATATTTGAAAATCTTTCGTCCCAAGCTAAGAGTTGGAAAAGAAACAAAAACGGCTTTCAGAAATAGGGAAAGTTTCAATGATAGCGAAATACAAGGAAATACATTTATACTGATTGTTAAACCTCTCGAGGGCCGGGCATTTAGCTCAGTGGTGTCGCTGCCTGCCTTGAAATTGGAAGGTCCTGAGTTCCATCCCTGGTACCAAAAATACCCAAAAAACCTCTTGAGAATTATAACTATTGTGTGTTTATAGAATATTATTTGATGAGCAGAAAGCCCACAGTGTTAGAGATCACTGTGAACTTTAAATATTCAAGCAAGCATTACCGTAGAGTAAGATAAGCTGATCAAATTTGGCATGTGGGTTTTAGGTTACCCGAAGAGGTAGGTTTACCCACATCAGAGAACACAGTAAGCTAATTTAATTGGAAATAGACACAGAGCCTATGGCTGTACCACTGTGAACACTCCAATCGCATCTGAAAGAGACACAGAACCTGATGCCAGGAGAGAGGGAGGGGCATTGACTGGAAGTGGAAATGAACTTCCACCGCTTCCTCTCTATAATTTAAAATGTTTGAATATCTTGCAAGAAGCATGTACTCATAAATTACTTTTGTAAAATTTTAAAGCCATATATTTTAAAGAAATTTATGTAGAGGGCCGGGGATTTAGCTCAGTGGTTCCAGCGCCTGCCTCGCATGCGCAAGGTCCCAAGTTCGATCCCAGGTACCAAAAAAAAGAAACTTATGTAAAGACTTGAAGAGTCTTACAAGGATGAAATAACATCCGGAGGAAAAGTGAAAGAAACTATGGTGATGGAAGACCCATGGGTACCATCTCTGGTGGGAAGAACAGAGGCTGACGCACTACAGGCCTTTGCTCTATTTCTACTCTCATTAGATCAGTTTCACATTATTCATTACATCACAAACCTCAACTACAAAGTGCAACCTAAGTTGCTTTCCTAAGAAAGCAAGGCAATTTCAAAGATCTGCTATTCTTGGCCAATATTAAGTGCTCAAAGCCAGTATAACTGCAAACAAAACAGGAGTTTAAAATGGAGTTGTGGAGAGAGGAGAGGTAGGGAATGAGCTTGAGTTGAAAGGGTTAGGAGGCCACTCCTAAAAATAGTCAGAGGAGCTGCCCTATGTTTTTTCCCGGGAGAGCCTGTGTTCCAGCCTCAGGGATTTTGAAGGGATGCTGGACCTTCCCAGCTGTGGGAGTTAGGGAGCATGCTCAGGCCAGTTGCAGGCCCCTGCTGAATCCTAGACAGTCTGACTA